AGAAAAGGGCGAAAAGACACCAACCTTTAGAAAGTTGAGGACATTTTGCAACCAGAGTTTGAAGAATCCAGGAAAATTTACACGTTTTCCCCATTAATGATAGGAAATGATACATCCAAAAGCTGTTTTGTTAGGCAATGAAAATCACTTGAAAATTGTCAAGCACTAGAGTGGTACAATTCTTGAACAAAAATTGTCAGAGAAGAGGTTCCGAAAAAGACATCTCCCTTGACCGAAGATAAATAAAAATGCGACTTGTGCTAAACACGTGCACTACACAACATGTCTTAAGAAACCATTCCAACAACCACTGAACAAAATCGTCAAAATTTTACCCTTGGCTTTAAATTGACTTTCCCAAAAGAGGAAGCCACTCAATGCAATGCTATTATAAAGTTAAAAATTAGTGATTGAGAAATAAAAGCCCACAGTTTTAGATGCAAACCATTAAATCAGTCTAAAAATTTAGATTAGCCAAGTAACTTTGTAATCGATAAGAAATGATTTTAAAGAAATTGTCGCGAGAAAAACTGTAACCTACAGAAAAATCTAGCTTTTGCTACAAAACGAAACTATTGCCAAAGTAAATGCCAAGCAACAAGGTTTTCCCTAGTTATTATCATTTCTTTTGAATGTATTGCCTTTTTCATGGAAAAATGAAGGAAGTTGCCGTTACTTTTGGTCGTAAATGTGAATTCGTGATCGATAAGGAATATGAAAAGGCTAAATTGTCGCGAGAAAAACTGTAACCTACAGAAAAATCTAGCTTTTGCTACATAAAGAAACTATTGCCAAAGTAATTGCCAAAAATCAAGGTTTTTGCTGGTTATTATCGTTTCTTTTGAATGTATTGCCTTTTCATGTAAAATGGAAGAAACTGGCCGCTACTTTTGATTATTATGAATGTTACTTCCTGATCGATAAGGAATATGAAAGAGTTAAATTGTCGCGAGAAATAGTGTAGCCTAGAGAAAAATCTAGATTTTGCTACAAAACGAAACTATTGCCAAAGTAATTGCCAAGCAACAAGGTTTTTGCTGGCTATTATCGTTTCTTTTGAATGTATTGCCTTTTCATGGAAAATGGAAGAAACTGGCCGCTACTTTTGATTATTATGAATGTGACTTCGTGGTCGATAAGGAATATGAAAAGGCTGAATTGTCGCGAGAAAAAGGGTTACCTACAGAAAAATCTAGATTTTGCTACAAATCGAAACTATTGCCAAAGTAATTGCCAAGCATCAAGGTTTTTGCTGGCAATTAACTTTTATACTTTGACTTTGAAGTTTTTACTGCATATATTGAAGCCATGTGGAGTATTTGCGCCCGCGATTCCGTGCCGCCATGACCAGCGTCATGCATTTTTCCCCTATGCTGCTTTTGCCTGGAAGCTAGTGTTTTCGACAGCTTTTGTGCGTATGATCTTCATGTGACATGAACATACACAGCTCAGAAAATGCCTGGAACAAGTTTCAACAAAGAATCCTATAGTCCAGTTAAAACACACAAATTTGCAGAGATCGTCAGATTCCAAAGTATCATCGGGAGTAGACTTTACAAAAAAAAGATTTTCATGTTCAGCTCTCGAGGTCTTGAATGACATCCGTTTATGGAATAAAGTGCCAAATCTAATGCCAGAGATAAATCGTATAAAGTACCCAGGCATTAATTAAACATGCCTCGTCGACCGAAATACGTGCTTGTTGGTTTCAATCGAGGGGCAAATCACTCTTGAAAATGGTGTAAGAGATTAATAATCACTAGTGATTAATTTGTGATTAAATCAATTTTGTGTGCGATTAATTTGATTTTCAGTGATAAAAGTGATTAATTTTTTTATTAATTTTTGATTTTTTAGAAACTGAATCATAGATTCAAAAATACTTTCAAATAATTTCATTTCGTCAACGATTTTGCAATATATTATATGAAATTGAAACAGAAAAATTAGCAGTTCCTGCACAGGAGTGGATCCAGAAAAAAATTTGACCATTGCAGATTTGCAAACAAATAAGGTTCAAAAGTTTAATATTATTAACAATTAAAAACAGAGATATCTTTTCTGAACAGCAGCATAAGAAAAATAGTAAGTCAATAATAATGGGTTATCTACATCATGGATGCAGGGGTGGCAGTAGCCTGAAGAGAAAAACAGTGAAAAGTTGTTGATCACTTTGAATGAGACTTTAAGACAAATGCATTTGCTTTTTTCTGTGAGTCGTCAACTTTCATCATAAGAATTTGAATATGCATCAAAAAAGCTATCTTTCCTGAACATAGGTGCATTAGCAACATGGATTCAAGTATTCTGGAATGAAAAAAACAGTGAACATCTGGTGGACACCTTGTGAAAGACATTAAGACAAATACATGTGCTCTGTTCTCTGCCCTCGCAAGTGATGTTGCTATTGGGAAATTAGACTGTCATTCCTGAAACTTTCACCGATATAAAAAATTGCAAGTTCCAGAAATATGGAACTTGATTATCAATTTGGCAACAAAAGCAGCAATGGTTTTTTCAGTGACCCCGGCATCATAACGAGGCCTTCATGTGTTCATGAAAAGATTAGAAAAGTGTGAAAGAGAAATTCTAAATAATGAATTTTTCAATAAAATATCCTGATAAAAGTGGGCAAGGATTCTAATATTTGTTTTCAGTAACTTTGTGATTAATTTGATTTTTTTATTAATGTGATTAATTTGTGATTAAAGTGTGATTATTCTTGAAAGCGTACGTGATTTTAATGAATGATTTGCCCCTCGGTTCCAATGACGTGCCTCGACTTTCCATGCAGCTTGAACACTAAATGTTTCGTGGTTATAATCGCTGATATATTCCATACAGAAGCGGCCAAAAAACAAAAACAAAATAGGAAAGTAAATCTTAAATACACTTTTTCCTTTTTATAAGAACAATTTTATAAGAACACGAGCCTCAATTGGTCAAAATTTAAGAACAAATTAAGAACAAGCTGAGACTTTAAGAACAAGCCGAAATTCTGCGAAATGCAATTTGGAGCGACGTTATATCTCAAAAGTGAAATTTTGTGACCATGTGTGGGTGCTTTTTCGGTGAATATTAAAACTTCTCGGCCAATGAAGGCTGTCTCATTCACTTTGTTAGTAAATGAGCCCTGAAAATCTCCTTAGAGCGCAATAGCTAGTAATTTCACTGCTTACACCCTTTTACAATGCTTACACCATTTAAGATCAAATAAAGAAAAATCCAGCCCAGATTTTTGAAAAAATAAGAACTGTCAGCCTGAACTTCAATTTATCGGTTCTTTAAAAAAAGAGGTATCCAAACAGTCATTCAAAAACAAAGTTTCAGCTGAACAACATGCATAGTTTAAGGTTATACGGCGATACCCAACAGCTGCCTGGGTACAAGTACCAAAGTTTAAAAATAGCTTTTTGTAATGTTTTAAAGATTGAGTTGCATCTTATTATATTTAGTACGTCAAATTACGCCAAAAAATAACGAAATTTTAGTATTTTTCTACTCAGATTTGCAAGATCTTTCTGAAAAAATCATCATATTTGGAAAATTCGAAGGTCAAAATTTTGCTGACCGTGCATTTTTCACGCTTTCTGCAATATTACTTCCGGTCATTTGCCGGAATGCACCCAAGACTTAAAATGATCAGTGGCCTTACTTTCATGACTTACACTTTACAAATTTCAGTTAGGCATTTTGCTAGATGGTTATGCGAAATTCCCTGTATATTACGTAAGGTTATAAACGGAATTACGGACTTGTTATCGCATTCAGTTTAGCCGTGCATGTCCAAAAAACCTTTAGATTAATCCCTGCAAATACCGCTGACTTGCAATTAGGGATCAACTGTCCATAAGATTTATAATACGAATTAATACAACTGTATAAGTTACAGTAGCATTAATAGTTGAAAGAATATTGTGTATAAATAAGAATTAAGAAAGATTATGGCCAAGAAGAGAAATGACAAGAGTCTTAAATAGCGAGAGCTTCTGTAGGCTCCACCCAGGCTCCAGTACCTAAATTTTTGCGTACGAATTAATTATTTCTGCAAGATGTATCTTGATACATTTTCTGGTGAAAACTGCCATTCGGAAAGATGCGGAAAGTTGACTAGTTTGAATTGGTAACAATGAAATTTTGCACTGTCAGCTGAAATCACGTGATAAGCTGCATAGCAATAGTTAGCTTGCTCCTTCACAGCGTGTAGGAAAGTGACATAGTGACGTATCTTTCGTCTCTTTTTAGGTCAAATTGCTGATGTCACAGAAGGACCATGCATTTAACATGTATTGTTGCCTTGCAATAAGGGATTAACTGTCCATGAGATTTTCAAAGATTTTGACAGAAACAGGTATCAAATGTTTTGGAACGAAACTTTCCCTTACTACCATTGTAATTGACACAAAAACCAGCGGGAGAAATATCAGTTGGTCCTCTTCTTGTAAACATGTGATTTTCTAGTATTTTACCAGCCTTTTTTACTCTTCTGTGCTATTAAAAACTTGACAGGACTGGAGCATTTTCGCTCTACATTGAAACTAAATCTTCAATTTCCAAACCAGCTTTTTCGTATTACATTTACATTGCTTTGCTTCATTTCAAGCTCTATTTATTATTTCATTGTTTTTTAAGGAAACACAAAATAAAGCTGCTGGTGATTTCGTTATGCCTGCTATCTTTGACGAATTTGCATTTGTTACTACCAAGCATTCAAAAGTAGTTTTTCGGACTCAGAAAAGCAGTGCATATTGAGTAGTATCTGGAATCAGCCTGGCGATGTGACCACCCTTCGTGATTCCTTTGCCTAGAATTACAGAAAGCTAGCAGCTTCCCTTACTTTATGCGAAAGTATGGTCATGCCAGTGACTCGAATCACAGACCCTTGGACCTGCAATCCGCGACCCTAACCACTGAGCCATCCTCGCAGAATAATTTTTAACGAATGAATCATAAGAGAAATGCAACAGACCAAAGGAGGAGCAGTAATAAAATACAATAGGTAAAGTTCATTATCATATAGTTCAAAATTCTTTTCATCACAACTATCTATGTACAACACGATAAAGTCAACAACAGAACATAGAAATAGAAAACAGGTGATAGAGAACTGCATAGCAACAACTTAAGGGATCTATCTCACATAGGGGGCATCTTTCTTCTTTCTGGGTATCTAAAACAAAATACATATCCAAGAAACTCGTTACAATACACTTATCGGTTGTGCGTCTATCGTTATCATAAGAGATATTTTCCGTGCTAAAACACACAGACATATCCAGGGGCATCATTCATAGACCTATGCAAGACGCTGGACACTCGATCTATCAAAAGAGTAAATCGACTGAAAATAGCTTTTAGAAAAGTGTTGCATTAGGTACTGCTGCATAAATCTAACACGATGCCTCTGGATTCAAACACAGTTTAAACACGCATTAAGTCCTAGCAAGAAATATGTCCTAGTGTCAAAAGGGGTTGGAGCTTATCAACCAAAGAGCAAATAAATTGAAAAAAAGTCAAGAGAAAAACGAGTTGTTCATACTTGGGGCAGTCAACCATTGTAAATTTTCATATCATTGTTAAACGGCTCCTTCCATAAAGATTTCCTAAACTATAGAAAACTTTCTACCAAATGTCACACTTCTTTATTCCCCTATCATTTGAACAAGAGCCTGAAAAATGGAAATGAACGTCCTTGCCAAGGGAAAAAATTTGTTAGGGTGCGACAACCAATGAAAAGATGCCGTAGCAATTTTAAACAAATTACTTTGGCGATAGATATCTCTGAATATACATTTACAGGCAGACACAAAGGCTGGTAACCTCAACATAAATTCACACAATTTTTCTTTCCTTGTCGCCGGATGAAAATGGACTTTGAACCAAATACAACATGACCATTCAACGTTTTTATCAATTAACATCAACCTGGAAATTTTAATGTGAAATTTATCTGCAGCTGACACAATAAAAAATTATCATAGAGTTCTACAGTGAAGCGAAAAATTTGTCTTTTTCAAAAATTTAAACATCTGAATGATTTGCCCGAAGTGTAAATTTTTTGCTCAATTTTGTGTGGGTAAATCAGCTAACTTTCAGCTTGCTTTGTCTGGGCATGCATGGAGGGCAGGGGGTTGTGTCAGTTTAAAATAACTTACGAGCCATTATAAAACAACAGAGGCCTAAGGTAGTCTGTGAAGTAGAAGAAATATGCTACTGACATCTTTGCAATCGAAAATCGGTGCAATGTAATATGGAACGTGTTCCGTTTCTAAAATCTCCAGACAGTTCTCTTCGCACTTTTTTTACAGTTAAAATCCAGTCAATAGCGTAGAATATTCACGACAAGCTAGGATTAGAAAAATTCTAGTTACATGTTTGCGCCCATATATCCGCTCCACTGGAAAGCAGGTAGATTTAGTTCGCTAGTTGCTGATTTGTCAGGCGTGTAGGACATACTTGAAACCGTACTGGTGCTTGTCGTTACTGCGTTACCCGCGGTCGCCCCGAGATAATCCTGCGAGTGTCCTGAAGGGTTGTAAAATGTCTGTGGATAATACGATGCTGGTCTCTGACTACTACTGTAGCTTGGGTAATCGAACGGTAAGCTTCCATAACTATTGTTCGCTCTGTAATTCTCTTCTAGAACACTACCACTGTATACTGATGGGTGTTCTCCTGATGGATACTTCCATAGAGGAAAAGACCCCGCGTTTTGATAAGGATGAGGAAAAGCTCCACCTGGTTTAAATGATCGCACAAACTCATTAGGAGATCCTTTGTCTCTACCTAGAAAAGCCTTCGTGTGATCCAGCCTTCCAGGACTCTCTCTTGACCGTCTATATTTAGCCCTTCTGTTTTTGAACCAAACCTAAAAACAAAAATTATCCATCAATGTCAATAGATTCATCTATAATTTTCCGTAAATCCATATATTGAAAAATAATTCTCAATCATGAGCTCCTATAAGTTATGGGCATGAAAGAAGTCCAGCTTTTAGGGAAAAAACACAAAGAAGGGAAGTTTAGATTGTCTTCTTGGGGTGGCATGCGCGAGCTGGTTCTTTCAGTTTCGTTAGAGTTCCGTCAGATGTCCAAAGAAGTTGTGTGTGTGAGGCACGGTCCATTTTAGAAGTTGCTACTTGCTTACTCAACTGCTTTCAACATTAAGTTTCCATTTCCAATAATCTTTGGTATTTTAGTATCTACTTAGTATGGGTGGATTCAGGTCATTTTGTCACACTAGCAACCGACGGTTTTCTTTATTCAATTCATTTATTAGTCTCCTTAAAGTCGCCCCCCCCCCACCTTCTGCAAATAGTCCTACAACTTGGAACCCAAGTTTGTCTTGCATCTGAAAATCCAGCCAAAATTACAAAATTTTAACAAAAAAATACTATGGTATGTGCCGCCACATAGCTAGGCCGTTGACCAAATTTTGAACCGTTGAGCAAGTTGAAATGTGTACCAAATTTTTTAACAAAATGTAGGTCTCGTTCATGTCCCAGAAAATAATTTTGTGAAATTTGTAGAGGTAGGTGTTTGAAGGGTGCAAATACAAATTCTATAAATTTTTGCACGAGAAATAGCATCACGCATGACCGAAACTAACCATGAGCTTTTCAAAACTGTTATTGAATCTATGAATGCCAGATCCTGAAAGTCATTGAGGTGAAAATTCTACATGCTTTTCAATATTCATTTTAGAAGAGCGTCAAGCACATTGATATTCAAGTAGCAGATAAATTGCGAGAGCTCGGATTTAGAGATGTCGGTAACGGTAGATGAATGTCCCGTGAAATGAGCCCAGTAGCGTGTTTGGGTCACCTGAACATCAGTTAGCAATGGAGTAACTGTGACCGCTAAAACGTGTTGGAGTCATGCATGCTTCCGTGGAAGGAGCTTCTTCTAATCCAAATGTGACAATTTGTCATTGAATCAAGTGCCTGAACAGCATCACGAGATTCATTTAGAAGCAACAACCATCAGATCATCAGACGAATCATAATAGAAAGCTACTTGACGTCACCCTTAAAATGAAGCCCTAAAAGGGCACGTTTGCCATTATGACATTTTCTCGAAACTTTTGTTTTGAAATTTGGCCTAGATAACAATGAAAATGGAGGTCACTTTGTTTGCTTGGGCAGAGAAAGCTTTTAAAAACCTTATTTGTTTATTTCTCGGCGAACCTGGCCCAATCACTTTAGAGGTCCAGCACGACTGATAAAACAGGTTTTAGTTTTCAGGCTGAAGGTATGGCGATTGTGAAATTAGGCAGTAACAGCTGCACATCTCGTGCATAATTTACTGGTTTGCGTACATTATGCAATCATGGAAAGTACCAAACTTGTTCAATGACAGCGATATTCATGCATCTAAGTTGAAAGAAATTTATCAGCAGGTTCCAACACCCCTGAGAAAAACGAAGAGAAATCTTGATTTGGCCTGATGCTCTTCAATTCGAACAGGAAAACTATCATCATTTGGGGAACCAATAGACGTTGCAAATAAATTCCAATGGCAATTATTTATTACCCATGAATTGTAAACAGTTTCTTTCTTTTGTTCATTGGGACGAAGGCTTATAGAAAAAGCATCAAAAGCCACGCAGCAACGCTATTTATACCCGTCTTTCCCAAGATAACTTTTCAAAATCGCAATTGACATACGGCACACCGAATGCAAAAAACGGAAGTGACTGCACAATTAAAGAAAACACGAATAGACTAATTTCATTAGGGCTTGGTGCTGCAGTATACTTTGCGTACACAAGGAAGCGGACGAGTCTCATTCAATGCTGACTGTACAAAAATGTGGGACTGAACTAGACGGATTGATTGCGGTTTAAGAAGAGACACCCATGAATGTTTCACACGCTGGTTCAAAGAAAGAGCGCTCAGGCGGGGCAGTTGAATGCTCTCGATTTGTTAACGGCATTTCGACTGAACTTCAGTAAAATTATTTGTGACCATATGTTTTCAAAGTTAAGCCGAAACACTCATGATATCCTAATATATCAAAAATCCCGTGAATATCTAAGAGGATTTACTTCAACTCATAAAAAACTCGAGATATATTGAATTCTATCAACGTCCAATATTAGAAGAAACCAAAAGCTGAAAATACAACTGAATTATATTGTCTTGCATTCCACTGCATTGCACTGCATGTACGTTATTGTACTGTATTGCACTGTATTGCACTGTATTGTACTGTATTATACAGTATTGTACTGCATTGCAATGTACTTCACAGTATTGTACGTTATTGTACTGTATTGCACTGATTTGTACTGTATTATACAGTATTTAACTGCATTGCACTGTATTGCACTGCTTTGCACTGTATTGCACAATACTACACAGTATTCCACAGTATGGTATTATATTGCACTACATTGTACAGTATTGAACAGCATTACTCAATATCTCATTTATTTTATCGAGTTGTATTGCATTGCCTATCATTTTTTGTATAAATTGTTTAATGCTTGTTTAACAATTGTAAATATGATCTTGTTCAAACTAGCATAAGGCAACTTCATGGATTCCACAAGACCGATGATTTACAGCAGCAAGAACGAAGAAAACACAAAGTAACTCAGAATGGTATCGTAATCACAAACAAGAAAAGAAAATCTCTTCTTTAAATGATGACCTTCATTTTTCTATGCCATTTAATGTTTGAAAATATTTTTTTGAGGTAGATCTTTCCGTTTGCTCCGTTTGATGGGAGAATAAATTTATTGAACTGAAAGAGGGCCGGAAAAAACTGAATAATGAAATTTATGTTGGCAATTTTGCAGTCTTGTTAAAACGATATATAGCATACCTGAACTCGTGCCTCCGCTAAATTGATCTTTTTGGCTACCTCTTCTCTCATGAATACGTCTGGATACATTGTTTTACTGAATAAATCTTCTAACACATCCAGTTGAGCTTTAGTGAATGTAGTCCTTTCTCGACGCCGTTTTGGAGGAGCTACGAAAAATTAGCTATAAAATAGAGATCATAAGCACACACAAGTAGAATATCATTACATTTGCTGCTGTTTTAAAATTGGTGAAATTATGAGTAACTCATGGTTTTTCTCAGTGTATCAACCACTGAATCTTTCTGGAATCGTAACAACTTTAACTGACTGAGCTCCTACAAGGTTCCTTTATGGGCCCTTTATTAATGAGATAGAGTTTCAGTGATGAGCTCGAGGAGCACAACACTGAATAAAATCACGTACGCTCTCGAAAATAATCACCCTTTAATCATAAATTAAGCACATTAATTTGCAAAATCAAATTTATTAAAGTGTAACATTGATCACAAAAATTACTTATACGTATATGTTATTGGAAAATGCAATATTTAGAATGTCCCTATGACACTTTTCCAAAAGTTCCGCTAAAATATCTGCAAATTAACGCTCGACAACATCAACTAAATGAACAATACGTTTTTCTAAGTACACTGCGATGGAGAAGAAACTAAAACCTCGTTATGATGACGGGTCAGTGCAACAACCATCGCTGTTTTGTTGCCAAAATGTCACTGAAATTGATCTGACCGAAAACCACGCCTGATGGCAATCATTTTTCACTCATTTCTCGTTGGTTGCTGCAGGGGCAGATCCAGACAGTTCCGACTGTTGCAATTGAAACTGTTACATTGTTGGGAAATGATTTATGTCATATTCTTATAATTTTCAATCGGTGAAAGTTTCATGAATGACAGTTTCATTTTCTAATAGCGATATTACTTGCGAGGGGCAGAGGTGATCAGCCTTTAAAACCACATTGGGGGCTATTGCACAAAATGTTGCAGAAAATAAAGCAAAAGTAGAAAAATAAAGCAAAATGCCAATTTTCGGCATTGACAAGGAGGCATAATCCCCCCAGAGCCCCCCAGCTCTACACCCCTGCTTTTGATGCAAATTCAAATTCTTGGGACGAATGAAGATGGCCCACACAAAAAAACATCCATTTGCCTTAATGTATCTTACAAGGTGTTCAAGAACATTTCGCTGCTATTCACTTCAGACTATGGTCGCCCCTGCATTCATGATGTAGATAATCTATCATATTGATTTAATATTTTGCTTATGCTGCTGTTCAGAAAAGATAACGCTGTTTTCAGTTGTCTATGATATCAAACCTTTGCACATTTTTTCTTTTGCAAATCTGCAACGGTCAGATTTTTTTTCAATTTCATATAGTACGTTGCAAAATAGTTCCCAAACTGGCATGATATGTTGTGATTTAATTTATGAAATATTGCTGTTTGATTTAGCTTAAGAATTGGTTTACCGTCGTGTGTTCAAAAGATGATTATTGCGCATGAAATTATTTGGAAGCACTTTTGAATCTATGATTCAATTTCTAAAGAATCACAAAATAATCACAAATTAATCACCTTAATTACTAAAAATCAAATTAATCACACACAAAATTGATTTGATCACAAATTAATCACTAGTGATCATTAATCCCATACACTATTTTCAAGAGTGATTTGCCCCTCCGATGAGTTGGTCATATTGCTTTAAAAGTAACTTCAATCTTTTAATTAACGCCCAAGAGCTTATGATATCTTCAAACAAGGAAGCCTTGATGTTTTATATTAAATGTTTGCAGTAAAAATATGAAATTTCATATGATTCATTTATAAATTAATTCGCAATTGTACATCAGAGAAATTTTGCTGGCCATCAAGGCATAACATAAAATGGTAGAAATTGCTTCAACCATCCGTCAGTAGTTTATTAAGTTATCCATTGATCAATGTTCTGTCTGTGAGGCCCACCTAAAGCGCATTCACTACTAACTTGTTTCTATGGACACATTTCCAACAATACCTCAATTAACCCACCAGCCGCATAGAAAGCGGTGCGTTCTACAGGAGTTCGTTAGATACTTGAGAATAATCAGCCATTCAAATATTCCTTAGCGCTATAATAATAAACCGTTGGATTGTATAAAAACATAATTAATAAGTTTGGAAGGCCAGTCAATAGAGTGTACGTTTACCAAATAACTACCAACTAGGACAGGCTCCATCATTACATTATTAAATTGATACCCATGGTGCACAAACTGCGTAGATATTCTTTTTTTGAAAAGCAAGCATAAACGAACTCATTCCTTTAAAAGGTTTTCTTCATTCTCTGTTGGTTAAAGGCTGATTTCTACGAGGCGAATTTCGCTGCGAATTCTCTTCAAAATTGTCTTTTGATTTCCATGTGACTTAAGTAACTTTTAGGCGCCCATTTTCAGAACTGCACGCATGGCGAATGTTCCAAGACTGTTTTCTTACAAATCAAGCAAATTGACTTTTGCTTTCACTGGTTATAAGGTGCTGCGAAATATTTTGCCGCGAAAAAGTAGAACTCTTTTCTACTTTCTTGCGAATTCGTTGCGAAATCAAAATCAAAACTTCGCATGTCTTGATCCCTTCATCAGCGAAATTCGCCTCGTGGAAATCAGCCTTAATGCGTAAACACCATCCACAAACTGCCTCCGCAAAGGCGCTCCTTAACTTGGCACGCAAAATTAGTTTCAGCAATAAAGATAATGGGGTTATTGGCATGTATATCAAAAAAAATTTGGACGTTACAATAAACGGATTGAGGTTACTTCGCCCAAAATTTAGGGTATGAGTAACTGCAGGGAACGTTCGTAGAGTGCAGAGTATGAGCCTCCCTTTGAGACTGATAACTAGCGAAGAGCTATTTTTTATTTCCAAAATGAAAAATGCTTCGCAGTTGATCAGTTGACTGTTTCAGCATACTTGGAAAGTAACTAGCTGTATTGAAATTGAAAGGCATCAGGTAATTGTATGGTTTGAGGAAACGGGATCCGTGGACTGGGCCAATTATCAAATTTTTGGAGAGCAATCCCTTTTAATATAAACTATAAACTAACAATGCCTTTCAATGGAATCGAGAACACTCTGATCATGCTCTGACAGAACGAAGCGACTGTAAGGACGAGAGGCTTGATAAGGGGCTGGAAACAGAGTTAGGCAAAAGTAATTCTTAATAATAATAACTTTCCTTGGGTCTCTAGAAGAAGAAAGTAACTTTAGGCTTACTCGAACATAAACAGATCTTATTCAACTTTGAAATTTGACGACAACAAACTACATCTTGCAGCCATATGGAAATCAGGAATTCGTTTGCCTCATGTTGTGAAGGTCAGCGATGAATTGCTTGAACGCGTGAAGTTGACATGGAGTACTATTTCGTGACCTGACAGGCAGTTAATTCCTTCCGAAAGGCCTCATGGGGGACATCAAAACCTTTTGAATGCCTAATTTCACTCAACACACCGCGTACCTTGGCAAGAAAAAAAATAGGACACGAAAAGCATCACCAACAAGGCGCAAGAACACAAAAGTCAAGGATAACTTTTCTTCACAATCGCCTTTGATTGGCTGAAATAATTAATTGTTTTAATTGATCTTATCCGATTTTGAAAGGAAATAGATAAATATCCACGAAGTAACAAATTTGGAAAATTGTGATTTTGACTGTGTTTTAAGAAGATACCTCTTTTGAGCGGCTCAATGACCAATGACCGTAGAAATACGAGCTTTGCATTGGCAAAGCAGTTGTTGCATTCAAGATTTCATATCGATTAAAGATTCTGCCGGGTAAGAAATTTTCAGGAAAAAAGGTTTTCCTCTGGAACCAGGCAAAGATAAGCAGTTGAAAAAAATCTTTATCAAACCAAATGAAAAACAGCTCGACATCAGTTTTAACTCAAGAGTCTTATCATTAATGCATTGCCATGATTTAATTCTGTGAGATTAGCATATGCCATGATTGTATGAAATTAACCGTGTGATTAATTACCGCGCGATGAAAAACCGCGCGGTAAACATGTTTAACCAGTCACGGAACGTAGAACCAGTTTTCTATCTAGATCGGCATATGTAAGGCTTAAAGTTGTTGAAAGCAGAAGGCAACGTCTGTATTACATGACAATTCTGCAAACTCTGCACCATCTTTCGCCTTTTAAACAACAATGTCCAAAGTATGTACACCACAAACAACAATGTAACAATCAAAAGATAGTAAAGCCATATTTAATGAATTTGAGAGTTAATGTTGATCACAGCGCAAAATGTATTTGACCTTAAATTTTAATGGGACGAACGGAAGAAAAAAGAGACCGCCTCATCCTTCTGGGTCAGCGACAAATTGAGAATGTCATCCGCAAGTGCAGACAACAGGGCAATGGCCTGCATACTGATTCCAATTCAGTTTGTGTTACCTCTACTCTTCCTTTTGACTCTAAAAACCAGACGAACATTTAGAAGTTTTTATCTTATGGCTTTGCAGAAAGTGAGAAATTTGGTGCTTTACGGACACTTGTTTTTTACCTATTCGGACGAATGGCTGTCCATAAAACCAGCTTTTATTAACACTATCGAGTAAGTGCCTCATACGGAAAATGCCATTTTTCGAACCTATTGAAATATTACACTTGCTTCAAGAAAAATAACTTCCTTTGACATAATCACAGTGGCCAATTGCTTGTTGGTTTTAAAACTGCGTTCATCAAAACCGTAGGCCACAAGTGATCCGACTTGACGTTGCATAAACAAATAAACAAAGACAGCAAAGATAAACAAAGATTCTTGGAAAATCTTTCACAAATCAGTGTTTCTTTGGGAACAACTAGATTCTTTTTTTGGCTAATTAGATCACCCAGTCTACGCTGTTTCTATTCAGCTTTAACAAAACAACAAAAGAAGCGCACTTCTTCATGCGATGTCCATAATAGTATGTCTAATGACATCTTGGTGCGAGATCATAAACTTTTTCACTGGGCTTTGCAAATCTGTCCTTGAGAGCATTTAGAAGATGTTTAACTTAGGCTTTGTGGTGTCTGGTTGAAGGTTAGAAAGGCTTTTTTCGCTCAACGTGACGCTCCTCATAGCGATACTGCATAAGAACATTCAACTGCAGTAGAGTAGAATGACTCTTTATCTTTGTCTGTCTACATTACTCTCCGCCTAAGCGAAATTGTAGCCCTTGACTGCTACAACTATTTAAAACGAATCTCAAGACAAAGAAGATTGGAAGCTTTCGTTGACTTTAAAATGCACCGAATAATGTTCCCTTTTTCTATGGGCATTTGCACATATACTTGCAGTGACAATGAGAACAACTTCAGTGCCAAAGCCGAGTCCTGAAAAAGTGTAATGAATGACCATAATAATGATATTCATCACCATCATATGAATCTACCAGGCAACACATGACATTCATCTTTGGTTAGCTTGACAGAAGATTCATAATCTAAAAGAAGACAATGTTGGTGATTTGAGTTAATCGACCAAAAAATTTATCTGGCAAGGTCGGTCGGCCGTAGTAACATAACAAAGCTTTGAAACTTCAACAAGATCTTTAGAATTCTCGTCCATAAATAGAAAAGCTTTTCTCTGAAGAAATAATCTTAAAGTTAAACACAATTTAGCCATTTAATTTTGAGGCAATAACACGACTGGCTCGTTATTTGCCCGCTATTTGCCCGCTCAATAACCAGGCTTCTTCACGTGCTGAAAACTGTTTATATAATCCATCAACTATAAAAATATCATCAACTGAAACTCGGTCACACCCTCCAGAAAACAAAATGATTTTTACTCATTCAGCTTGTATACAGACAAAATGTAGGCGCTCAGTGAATCTTGAGACCATGTCTTTATTGCTGTCACATTTTGGCGCGTCTGAAGGTATAAGGCAAAGAAGTTAACTACAGATGTAAATAAATACATTGCTTATTGACATTATGCTTCTTTTATAAGCTCAAGCGTGTCGATGTATTTGCAGAATCGGGATTTACAGTATATCCGAGACAAGAAACCAATTGGCAGTTCGTATGCCTACACGCGTGTCTTAAAATTGTCTTTTTATCAATACCTGAAAACAATCTATTATTCGATGAGCAGATTATACAATATTAATAGAAACAGATTTTGTGCATTTTTATTGATATTCACTATCTATAAAATTTTTTAGAACTGTGAAAGGTTTGAATAAAAGCCTCCCAAAGGCACAAGTCAGTGATTTGCATTTGAACAAAGTTCAACCAGCATTGCTCTGCAGAAAAACTAGAAAATCTTCTATCAATGATTGCTAACTGCAATTACATTATCATTCCAGTTGAATTAAACCTAGTTGAGTTGCTTATATCGTTCAGGTTTCTTGAAATTTTTTTCAATGTGAGTCAACCTGAAAGCTTTTTCTCATTGTCAACCCACACATTAAAGGAAATGACAAGCACATATAATAGTTTTGACTTGATACATTTGTTGCGAAATCCATTCTCTCTGAATTCTGCGTATAAGCAAAGAAAAAACTTGAAATATTTAACATTGCATAAAAACTTTTATCTGTTTACTTTCTCAAGGCAGTGTGTTTATAAAATAGCATTCCCTGCATTGGAAACTAACTGGACAAAAAATCTAAGTCGACGTCTAAATAGATTAAACTAGACACGATTGGCACCAGAGTGAACCAAAGAAAAAACAAACAAATTTTGGATTTCCTTTGACTTAGAAATCCCTTGCATGTAAGTCAGATTTCTGAGAGGACAATGAATTATATTGAGTTTTCTGAACATACGTAATCAGTTGTTTTAGAAATGAAACCGAATATTTTTAAAAACGTCTGGGTGGATAGCACATTGATTGTACCTATGTTTTCGTGATTGCTACAGCAAAGGAGGTCTTTTTTCTAGGACATTTATAATCAAATGGACCGATAGGTGAAAATATTGCAAAGGGCTTTGACACATTTTATGCTTAAAATACAGCTCTTCTGATGCCCATCAAATCTGCATACTTTGCCATAAGTATTTTTATAAATCTAAAACCGATAACTGTTTGTGGTGCTAAATCACTCAAAAAAAATAAACTTATAAAAAGAAAACGCAGTTATGTTTAAGAGTAGTGTCCCAAGAAACACCCTGTGTGCGCGCAAAAGTGCATAAGTTGAATGGCATAAAACTGGTGTTGATTGTAAATACTTCAATATAAAATTTTTATCTTCTTTTAAAAGAAGTGCAAGTATTGGGCCAATGGCTGTTTCATACACGTATATCTATGGTCCTAATGGCTCTCTCATGTCCTTAAATCAAATCGTTACCAGCTAGATCAATAAACTCCCTTAAGATGAACCCATATTCTGAAGAAGATAGTCAATCGCATACATAATAATGGCAATATCAAACACTAGAGATTCAATGACACAGATCAGCCTTGTAAAAAGCTTCAAGAGCTGGTTACTTGACCTTGGGAAATGAAAGCGGATCTGTTTGCAAGCACTCAGCTTTCAGTTTGCCAAGAGATTGGCAACGACACACTAAAACTGACTTGGATTACTATTAAACAACCTTTTACAAAATTCTATCAATCGTTTCGATGTGGTAGCCGAAACCAGGCGAAATTGAGAGCCAAAATCATAGAATGAAAGTTATTCTTGAGAGTGATTGAAAGAGGGCTGCAAACTAAAGAGGCGGAAGACTGGGAGGGGTATGATGGGCGGCGAATCATACATCTAGACGCTGGTGTGAAGCCAACAGCAAGGAAACTAAAAAATTAGCTGAAATCTGAAAAAAATCAGAAAAAAATCTGGACTTCCTTAACCATTTATTTAAAACGTATGATACAGAAATATAAGAATATCTGGTCCGCTAAAGTCTTAAAACATATTAAATAGAAAACAGCAGCGTCACTGTCTACTAGAAGGCAGGTAGGTGTAAAATAAAACGATAACAGACGGAGGATTAGGATTATGAAAATTATCTTGAAAGAAAGAGTAAGCAGCTTTATTTCGTAAATGTTTGATTATGCTATGAGAATTAAGAGGACATAACTTGGCACATAAAACTAGCCTAATGTATAAAGCAGAATAAGAGATAAGTCATAAACAGGTTTATGGCATCAAATGTTCAGAAATGGGAGAAATGGGGAATCAGATCCGGTGTTTAAAAAGCTGTATTTTGAGTATGTATCGTATTGAAGTTTTTTTCTCTCTCTTACAGCCAAGATTGAAAGGTTGGCAGTTTGCAAACATTTACTCAATCGAATGAAACATAGAGGAAATGGTTAGGTGAAATAGTTAGCGGCATTTCTTTGCACCGCAGCAAGGAAGTGACTCCGATTTCCATGCCTCGTGGGGTTAGCACTTGATGCTCTTAATGGACATGAAAATATGACTATCATTGGCCTAGAGCAAGAAAAGTACCAGTTAAAACATAGTGTATTTGTCAAACTGCGATCGTTTTAGAGTATAGGACGCCTGTTTACTGCGAATTGTCTTCATTCATTCATTACAGGGCTTAATTTTAGAACACCCTTGCTAAACTCCAGAATTACTCATGGCCTCAAAATTTGCAACGATTTATCCTAATCCACGAAAGCTTACAAGGTTAACAGGTCCGGATTTTGAAATATTGCGACTTGTTAACCTTGCAGCTTTTTTAAGACATACAAATACACTGGTTTGTAAAACATGGCATTCCTAGCTGATGAACAATTTGCTTCTCGGCGATTCTTACATCAAATTTTAAAGTTTTTTCATCGCAAACAAAACAAATCGACATCTCTTCAACAAATGATTTTACCTAGAACTCAGTAATGACGAGATACTCTTGTTTCCATGTAAACAGACCTAGCCGTCTATGTCATGTTGCTTGCGACTTGGCTGAACAGCTTCCGAGGATTTCGCCAGCATGATATAACTGAACATGCTGTTCGATCATTAAAGCTAAATTATTTCATTTCAATCTGAGAAAAGCCTTGACTTTTACATGAATCTTTTTAGTGACGTTAGTATCATGTTTTCGCAACAAGAATCTATTTTCTACAAAACAACGAACTTGCTAACATCAAAACTTTCTTACCGGAGCTCGAAGAGTTTTCTGTCATTTTAGTCATTATTGGTTGATCTTTGCTTGCCTGATCCAGTTCCTGCAATCATATAAACAATAAACTGATGAAAATTTTTAACTTTGACTAAGGTATTTAAATCGGCATAGCCTTGAAGCAAAGCAAGACCCGAATGATGTCAGTAAACACCCCTACCCCTTTATGGGACATATACCACATAAAATAAATCAAATATTCTATTATATCAAGTAACACTACACTATGACATTCAGAAATTGTAAAGTTTGCAAATAGAATTATACATGAAGAAGAGAAGTTAAAAACAAATTAACAACCAAATGGATCCAAGAGCAGTTGGAAATAAGAGCAAGATTGCCCAAAATTGGCTACTGTTTCAATATGACTACTATTATTAAATATCAACGAAATACTGTAACTATAAACTCAATACTTGTGCTGCTATCAAGTAAAATATTTTGAGTAAAACCATAAATTGAAATCATTTACAAAATTTATATACAGTTTTAAGAAAATATTGTTGCGATTCAAGACATTGTGAGCAAAACGATCAGAAGGTGTGAGAAAATCGATATCATGTATAAGTATTACCATTAACTTCGATGTGCTTAAACTTGATTCATTTCAAAAGCATCAAAAACTCTTAAAGACTTAGATTACAAGTGAAAAAATGTTGAGTACAAAATTCTTAACATACCATCTTGCAAAAGGAAGAATCAGAGCAACAGACAAGAGGTACAACCTCCTGTCAAGTCAGCTAGGAATGACTTAACTCTGACACCGGCGAACATCTCTTATCTATATGGACCAGGAGGGGAATAGACTCCGTTCTCATAAACTACGTTAAATAAGGAATTAACAAAGGGGCAGGGGGTCATTATATCTGTATCGCATTTAACCGTTTCAAAACTTTGCATATAGGTTATGGCTATCCTTTTGGTCGATGCACATCAGCTGGAAATTAAAATTGCCAGATTTTCGTCACCTCGTGATTTGAACCCTTAAAACTCAATAAGTGGAAGCAGCACTGATCCATGCGTATTTTTAAGCAAACGTTTATCGACATTTTTATCAAAAAGCTATATATAAACAGGACATAATTGAAGGAACGACCTACATAAGATGAAGCCTTGTGAATATACAGGGTATGTATACATTTAAACAAACAAGAATATAACCTATACATGGCAAGTCTCCATGTTGTGTGGACTGTTCGTGTTATAATAATACAAGAAGGGCAAGAAAGATATCCTTATCTCCCCTTACCAAATCAAAACACAATAAGGCACCAGTGTTGCTTGTGACAAAAGCAATGCGCCTCTTTTAAACAGCCTTTTCTATCTTTAGAGCAATAGTCATTGACAATCGATTGTCAATAGGCAGTTTAGCCATTAAGTCAAGTGGCGTTCATCTTTTTATCGTCATGCGAATTGAAAAGGTGCACTTCAAAGGAAAATCGATAACTTTTATCAGGGTTGTAATAGAGAGAAGGCTGACAAGAATGCGCGTCGGACGGTATTCAAAAATGGGCCCTGGCCAAAAACGAAATGTTTTTATCAGTTTAGTACACAAAAATCAGTTTCTGATGATAAGTTGGATTGGAAAACCAAATTGATATTGGATTGGGGTCATTTTTAAGTGAACATGACATATCGTAAAGATAGAAGGAAACATTCAAATTCTTGATTAAATACATAAGCAAGCAGCGTGGATCATATACATCAAAACAGAAATGCCCCATTGTGCGGGTGTTTTTTGACCATTTATTTTTCTCAGGCACAAAACCAGAAGTTTGTTATCTATTCAAGTTCCGTGAATCGTCCTCTATCGCAAGGTCAGAACACATCTCCTGAATAGAGAAACTTGAGAACTGTCTCTTTGGTTTCGCGGGAATCAATTAAGTTAAATTGAAGGGAAAGTCATATGCCGAGATCCTTCAACATGCTGAATATATGTTATTGATAATTACCCTTTTTGTTTACTTTGAGTACACCAGATCGCCATGATATCTGGGCTAGCAGCAGTAAGCCTTGTTATATGCACATATTTCCTGTCGAAAACACCAAGACTTTCAATGTGTCGAACGGCTTGCTACTTCCAAAAGCAGCAGAGTTGATGGCGCATTCCCATCTAGTGTTTATTACTAGCTACCGATAATCATCCTGCACGTAACTGGGAATATTTCAACAAGACGTTACTCGACTTCCCTGGAATTTATTTCAGTAACAACCAAGTCAGGACACAAGAGTAATCACAAGCCAAGATAACGGTGTTTTCTCGTCTAAGCTACCGTGCGAAGTGGGGCTGTACAACGCCAAGAGGTGTTGTGTAAAGAGATTATCATATCAAACAGGCTCCAATTGATATATGAAAATTCTGCCACCAGTTGTAAGTGTGAACTCACAAATACACAAATACATCGATGTATTCACATACGATGTAATCCACTTGTAATTGAGTACAAATACAATCTAATGGATCATTATTTTGTTAAGACTTGTGCCAAATACTTCAACACCTTGAAAAGTCTCCGCTAATAGTCGATACAATCACAAACGAATAAGATTAGCCTTAAAAGTAGCTTATACCGTTTTAAACTCAACTCTTCATAAGACTCTTAGCACCTGACTTAAATATTTCAGTTGCCTTAAAGAGGAAGCAAATTTGCGAAACTTACCTTTAAAATTGACAATCAAAGTTTCAGAGTTTGATTTTCTCCTTTCTTGACCACGAACAAACCTGACGTCAAACGGGCTCTCCAACGAGTGCTTCCTAGAGGAATTCAGCCTCTCTCTAAGATAGCTGTACGCAATTACAGCTCACAATTGTAAAGAATAAGCTATTTAATGTGATAAAGTTCAAAGGAATACCGCCATTCACCGCTCCCGCTGTGCGCTATAGCTACCTGACATATGTTCCCACCGCGAACTTGACAAACGGTAGAGGCTAGGGCGGTAGTGCAAGGCATTGTGGGTCATTCTTGAATTCTTTAGTGCTATAAATGCCGGTTCCAGGGTTGATGCTTCGATTTTAAAACCAGTGGTTTTATGTTTAATTCTGTTATGTGTGACCTTATTGTCAGAAAGTCTTAAAGAGTGCCATGACATTTTATCTTGACAATTTGCTTCCTTCAAAAACTGAGGCTCCGGTTGCTGCATATCATTATGTTGCTGTTGTTAGAATGCTTTACATTGTTTGTCACCCGTCGGAAAACTTGATCAAATTGCAGAACAATGTCAAAATTGGGATAATTTCGATACAATTTTTATTTCATACTCGCACTAATCAGGTTACTATACAGAAATTAGGACCCAAACCTTCCATTTTGCTGAGCCTATTTGTCTTCTTGACAGGAGGATATGATTACAGTGGGAATGATAATGATGATTATGATTATTATGATCATTATGTATATTGTGATGATGACGATTATGATTATAATGATGATCATCATATTATTTGATCATTCTTCGGCTACTTATATTATCCTTTGCTTGATAAAATAAATGAAAATGAAAGATTTTATTAAGAAAGTTTCATTGAGGAAATCTGACCTCCAACATTTAGTAAGCAAATATTGCACCTGATTGAAGACCTGAGCCATAATTTAGGTGGACGTTGATCTGTAATTGGTCCATCTGTTGCCTGATACCGTGCAATTCAGTGAGCTTTGGAAAACAAATACCGATTTATGCTTAATCTCTGTATATATAATCGCAATATTATTTAAGCATTTGTTCTAGAAGTATAGCGTCAAATCGGGGATTTGAAGCCTGTGCGATTAACATTTGCATGAATCATGTAAAGACATGAGAGTGAAAACAATGGACCTGACACAGTCGTCTCTCGATAATTAGCAGGATAAAGCAGGTGATGCAACGCGCGAGAGAATTCGATCGAATCTTTAGCAAAGCTGAATTGCAAACAAGCACAACAACCATTGATATCGTTATCTGAATAGTTTATTCGAACTATGATAAACAAGATTCTATTTCCGATTGGCAAATTGATAAAATGAACTGATTTGCAATAGCCTTTTGACTTTCTTTTTTCGCTCAGATGTCGAGAATTTCAATTCAGTAGAAAATTTGATTTTTTCCACAAAAGCTCCGAGTGGCTCTATTCTACTCAAATGAAAATCTAGCTGTGAGAGGACATTGCATGTCATCATGGGGAATTCTCACTCAGCTCAAAGTACTTTACCTTGAAAAGGCTTCGCACAACTTCTCTGCTGGAAATTCAGGCTGATTAACAAAAATGAGATAAACTTCTAGACAGCTTCCACCCCGCTTCTCCTCTTTGTTTACACTAGGGGTTTTACCATAAAGCGAATACATAAAAATGTTTTTCGATAAAGTGAGAATGATAATCAAGAAGGAAAGGCTGCAAAGAGCCCTTTTAGGAAACTTTTTATTTTCTAAGGAAAAAAATTCAGTTGACCTGATATACATATATCTGAGTCTGTAATTGATCGGAGTGCCTTGGTCACCATTTCTCTCAAAAGACCTGAATTGCTGGTGATCTGTTCTCAGTTTTTGCCCTACCCAAAAGTTTTGTTGAATGCTATAAGGTTTGAGCCTTTCCATCTTTCGGAATAGCATGGCATCAAGCCAAGGTTACATCAGTTCTTACAAAAGAAGGGAGGCGTTAGAAGATAAAGCAATAGCCCGTTCGCATGTCTTCTTCTACTCTACAGCATTATACACATACCATTCTACACAAATCTATACCTTCGGCAAGAGTCCCCTCTCCCCTCCTAATACCCTAAAAAATCCTATTGTTCTAAGTAAATATCGTTTACTGGTTGAGAAAAGGTACACATCCTTCGCTCCACAGCATCAGCAAGCCAACAAAATACTTTTCCAGTAGTTTTTTAATAGACATTCATCGCTTGTTAAAAGCAGTTTCGAGGGGCAAATCACTCTAAAAAATTGTGTATCAGATTAATAATCACTAGTGATGATAAATTCGTGATGAAATCAATTTTGTGTGCGATTATTTTGATTTTTAGTTATTTTAGTGCTAAATTTGAGATTAATTTGTGATTAATTTGTGATTATTTAAAACTGAATCATATTTTCAGAAGTGCTCTCAAATAATTTCATGGGCAATTAACGTCGCTTGAACACATGATGGTAAACCAATCCATAAGCCAAGTTTAAACCACAATATTTCATTAATCAAATGACAGCCTTTCATGCTAGTTTGGTAACGATTATACAATTATCAAAATATTAAATATATATGATAGGTTTTCTACATCATGGATGCAGGGTGACAATAGCCTGAAGTGAAAAACAGTGAAAAGTTGTCGAACACCTTGTAAGAGGCATTAAAACAAATGCATGTGCTCTGTTCTGTGAGCCGCCTACATTCATCATAAGAATTTTAATTTGCATTAAAAGAGCTTTTTTTTCTGAATAGTAACATTAGCAACATTGATGCAGGTGACAGTACCCTTGAATTAAAATCAGGGGACAACTTGTAAGAGACAGTAACGTTTTTCGCTTTATAACTGCAACAGTCGATGAAACTGCAATGACACAAATATGTTTATGACTTTCAGATGCTTAGTACCCTGTGGTATCCTTGATTCGATTGGCTCGCAACTGTCAATATGCTTTGATTGGCTTTCAACGGTCAGGGCCTTTCTTGATTGGCTTGCAACCATCAGCAATAGCTACATTCAAACACATTGCTGCTCCCGCCATTTTTGCATCTTTCAAAATCAATTCTCATGGGTCAGCGCTCAACTTCTAGGTCTTCAATTTTGCTGCGCATGGGGCTATGGACTTCGGTCGAGTAGTTGATGGGCAAAAGCCGCGAAATCTCAAATGTGGTTGTTTTGAAGGCTGATAGCCTCTGCCCCTCGCAAGTACTATCGATATTGGAAAATAAAACTGTCATTCATGAAACTTTCACCGATTGAGAAAACTACCAGTTTCGGAAATATGGAACTTGATTATGAAACCTTTATTGGGAAAATTACAAGAATATGACATAAATCATTTCAAGCCCGTAGCCAGGCCTGTGGAGCAGGGGTGGCAAACTTGCCATGTTCAGAAATTCAGGTGAAATTTAAAGTGAAGTTATTTGTAAATGGAAGCAATTTGAAATTTGTCTTTCAAGTCCTACATGGGTAATAAGATACCCCAATAAAAAATTTTCCTTCCGCTAATAAGAGCTTGACATGAATTTTCACGACAATCCAATAAAACAACAGAAAAGCCATTGACAAGATTAGACACAAAAGTTTTGGGGCTTGCAGATAGCCGGTGTTCTCTTGCTCTAGGGGCTACTGGCTGGCATTGCCACCCCATGCCACCCCGTGGCTACGGGCCTGAATCATTTCCCATCAATGTAACAGTTTCAACTGCAACAGCTGGAACTGTCTGGATCTGCCCCTGCAGCAACCAGCGAGAAATGAGTGAAAAATGAATGCTATAAGGCGTGGTTTTCGGTCAGATCAACTTCAGTGGCATTTAGGTAACAAAACAGCAGTTTTTGTTTTATTTCATTGACTCGGCATCATAACGAGGCCTTAATTTTTGCTCCATCTCAGGGTACTTAGAAAACTAATTGATTTGTTCAAGTTCTCGAGCTTGTGCTTGCAGATTTTTGAACGTGTTCTTAAAAAGTTCGGAAACGTGTAAAAGGGGCATTCTAAATATTGCGCATATATTATTTTTCAATAAGATGTGAAAATCCTAATATTAGTTTTTTAAGTAATTTTTGTAAATAATTTTATACTTTGTGCTTAATTCAACTTGTTTTCTTGATGTGATTAAGTTGTGATTAAAGTGTGATTTTTTTCAAGAGAGTGCGTGATTCTAAGCAGTGATTTGCCCCTCAGTCTGTTTAGTGCTTGAAAGAAGCAGGTACGTGTCTTGCTCAAAGAACAAAAAATGGCATTATTTAGCTTGTCGTCTAGTGCTGTT